ATTTCAGAGGGCTTTGATATTCCTGATCCAGGATATGTTGCATGGCTTAAAATTAACCATCCCGAAATAGCACTGTCAACTACAGGGACATCAACAACTATGTCATCCCAGCCAAATTCTGCAAGTCCTCTCGATAAACAGCAAGCGGCTTCCCCTGATGTCCTTGATGAAGTACTAGTTCTTCCTGTCCCATGAGAACAGAAGCAGAGATGAAGGGAAGGTGTTACAACTAGAGGTTGCTATATCACTGACATGTTGGATGAGTTAAAGGAAAATGAGAAAAGACAAAGAGATGAAAAGGAGATGAAGCTAGCTAAGCAATTAGAAAAGGAAGAAAATCGTAGAATGAAAGCACTTGAAAAAGAGCAGAAACAGAAGGAACATCAAAAAGCAAAGGAAGAGAAGTTAAAAGAAAAGGAGGCTAAATTATTAGAGAAGCACCAAAGGCAAAGGGAAAGGGAAGAAAAAAGAGAGGCTAAGCAGAGAGAGAAGGAAGAAAAAAGAGACTAAAAGAAGCAAAACTATTGCAAGATAAAGGAGAGGAAAAGAAGAAAGGAAAAGGGAATCGAAGTAGATCTAAGGAGAAACATAAGGTCATTTTACAACTGGTAAGTTAAATTAAAAATATAAAAAACTATTGAGCCATTACTTCATTTTAAAGTAGGAAGTAATTCACAGTCTGACACAGGTGAAACTCTATCTGAATCTGATGATGACACAATATGTCCTAAGTGTGGTTTAGCCTATTCATCTGATCATGACTCATCTAATCTTTGGATTTGTTGCGATAAATGTGATGTTTGGTTTGATCTGAAGTCATGTACTACTGTTAAGTCTAAATGGAGTATACCAGACATTTATTTCTGCGAAGAATGTCAAAAGTAACTGATCAAATTGTTTGGTTTTCTGTACAAATACATCATTGTTTTTTTAATAATTTTAATTATATAGTAAAAGATATCAGATTACTAGTGAAAAAAAGAATTTAAAGCTGTCTCATAATTGTCTTATAATGTGCTCCTTGTCTCATAAATACTACATGCAGTATGAAGCGTTGTCTGATTTTTATTAAAATTGCTAATAGTACTAACTGGAAAATTTTCTGATGACAATAAAGAATGATGATATGTTGTAACATATAAAAAATTTGAAGTACATATACTATTTCTTTAGGGAGATATGCATTACAATAGTTAAGTGACTCATAATTGCCACGCCTCCTCTACTTGTCAGTTCATTTAGATGGACTACTGGAACAGGAGAAGAAACCTTAGAAGCCATTATCGAGCTAAAGGGTGGGCCATGGGCATGGCATGGGGCTGACAGTGATCATAGATAATAGAGTACCGTAAATGTCCAAATAAAAGCTGGGCTTGAATAAACACCTGGTACTAAGAATCTCCAAGTATAGATACGCATATTTTACTCAATATAAGTACCACAGTCCTTAGACTGTCCCAAATGGCCTAACTTGTTAAGCTGAATGCAATGAACCTGGAGGTCCGGGTTTGAATCTCAGTTTTACTTTTTCAGTCTTTTTTTATTTTACGCAATTTTTTTGTCCTGGAAAGAAATAAACGCCCGGGCTTTTATTTGAACATTTACGGTAAATGAACTACTCTATTATCTATTAACTACTCTATTATTATTTCATTTACTCTATTATTTATGCAGTGATCGCGTGATCATTAACACACCTACTAAAATTATACAATGCCAGCTCAGCAATATAAATCCCGATGCCGCCCATTGCAGTGCATCTGCCCAGTATGAGTCTCTGCTACATGTCCACAGTTTATTGTATATACTATACTCTATAGCGTTGAGGAATCTTCTTAAACTGTCTTGTAAAGTTAAATACAAACACAAAACTACACACACACACAACACATACAGTAAAAAATCATATAAAAATAGAAAAATAGGTTAATACATTGCTCCTGTAATCATTATCTTGTTCATATATCTACTAATGTATGGGATAAGGTAAATTATTGTGATGACTGATAGCTTACATAAAGCAGCAATCCTGTCAGCTAATGTAGAAAGAACAACATGATCCTGCTCCCTCAGTATAGACAAGAATGTACTAATTTGATCAGGACAAAATTCAATTGTATTTATAATTTTTTGAATAAAAAGTTCTACTCTTTTTGATAAAGACTGGTTATTCATTCCATCAAATAACTCATCATACTGAGAAGAATTAATAATTTTTACGTCCTTACAAACATTAGCTATGTCACGAAACATTGATAATTCTGAAGAAGAAAGGAAACGTTTCAGATCATTAAGGTGCTTCTTGATGTCATTTTGTGAACCAGGATTAGGAACATCTTTAGTACCAACAGAATGACCTGCATCTATATATTACACAATTGAATACAGTAGAACACAATACAAGTCAGTATAGACATTACTATCATACCTAATATATCTTTCAGGGATCTGTTAATATTGATTGTTCTTGGTTTACGTAATCCTTTCAATGGTATAGCATACTTCAGTACATGAACTGTATCAGGATGACTGCTGTCAGCATATATTGATACCAAACGAATTGTGGTACGGTTATGACCAAAAACATCTAAATCTCCTTCTTCAATCTATTAACAGTATACTATAGAAATACCAGCATTACTATTATACATGTACCTGGCATGGTACTATATCAGGACTAACAGTCCAACCAGTTATTGGTCCATCCTGAGGACCAAACACTAGCTCAAGGCATCCAAAAGAAGGATCAAATTGAAATGTAAAAGCTTCACCCATTTCTAGTTGACGATAATCTTTTTTAATGAACTGTACAATATTATTGAAAATGACAATCACATAAATTAAAAATACCTCAATTAGAGCATTTAAATCTTTAGTAGCTGCAAATCTCATTTTATCTGCTCTTTGATAAAACACTTGTCCAGCATACACTGTAGCTTCAGGTATACCAGTGGAATGAGTAGATACAACTGTATAATGAATTATTGACAGATTATATACATGCACATAATAAAATAAAGCTACTTACTAAGTGTTGATGAAGTGTTTGGTTGATCACATGATTCTAAAGCAATTGTTCCATTCTCATCATCTTTCTCTTCTTCATTCCCTCCAGCTACTCCTCCACCTGGTTCTCCTTCTTGTCCTCCTGCTCCTTGTCCCTCTCCTCCTGTTGTCTGTCCCTTTCCTTTCCCTCCCTCATCTCCTGAGTCTCCATCTTCCTCTCCATTCCTCTCCTCATTCCTACTTCCTCCATTTTCCTCTTCTTCCTCTCCAACAATAGCTAATTGACAAAACTTGCTTCGTTCAATCCATCCATATCTCTGGTATGCTGGAAACTCCCCTCCTTCAATTATAGAAAACTGGTAAGGAAGACTAGCTGTGTGAACTGGAGCAACAGCAAATTTAAGATACTTGGATAAAAAAGGATCACTGAGATCAATAGAGTGTTGCATTTCTATCCTCAGTGACTTGAGGAGTGGACTGGTTGATATTGCATACACTGCACTGACTAGTCTAGTATTATCAGGAAACCTATAAAGGAATTAATAATTAAAATTCATGTACATGTATAGTGTATAGTGGGTGATTTTGGTCGGGTGAAATATTTGTTATTTTATGCATCAAAAATTAAAATTTGGCATAAAAGATCTCATCCTAAATCATTATTTAATTTTTCTATTTGTTAGAGAGCAAAATGTATAAGGCAGTAATATTTTCTTCACTAGACACATAAAGACTAAATTATCAATTGTTTTCCCATACAATAATTCCCCAGTACTAACTATACAGACATTACTACATCTACAGTATATGTACTTGAAGTGTCCTCCTACAAGAGCTAGTACTGATACTTCTACAGTCTCTGATGCTGATAGACTATCCTCTGGTACACTAATCCTCAGTCCATACTCCTCCCAGTTCATCAGTTGAGGTTTGTCTCCTTGAACTAAGAACAACTTCTTCCCTGCTATTTGGGACTCACTCAGACCTTCCAAATTATCTGTAGGAAAGTATAACAAGTGAAATTATGTATTGTTAAAATGTGTATGTAATTATGGACAAAGATGAGACAATGAACCATAATTCATGTAAAGCTACAGTGAATGACAATGTACAGTGCATGAAGCAACTTTTAAAATTCATTTAAAAATCTAATTTTGATTGGAATCAATTCAAACTTTCTACGCAACATAAGTACATGTATATGCGCCAGAAAATGTAATAAAAATTAACATTTTTACTTTTTAAGTTTGGCAAAATTTGGCCCAAGACACTGTACTACAGTACAGGGACTTTCATCCAATTTTGGAGCAATTTCAAAAATTTGTAAAAAATTTAATTTTAATCGAAATTAACTCAAACTTTCTACACAACACAAGTACATGAATAGGCATCAGGGAAAATTATAACAATGGAATTTTTTACTTTTTAATTTTAACAAAATTTGACCCGAGACGCTGTACTATAGTACAGGGAATTTTAGAGTAGCTTCAAGAATTCGTAAAAGAATTTAAATTTGATCAAAATTGGCTCAAACATTCTATGCAACATATGAACAAGTATATGCATCAAAAAAAATTATAAAAATGAAAAAATCTCTACTTTACATTTTTCGCAAAGTTGACCCGAGACTACATATATGTTACTAATAGTACAGGAACTAACCTTGTGCTGGTACAAGATAGTTGAATTGAATTTCTTTGTCAAGAGCTAAAGTATAAAAGTGATAATAAATAAATAAATAAATAATTACATACTTGTTTGTGTTGTTTGTATTTCTTTGTTTTCAGTTTCAATTTGAGTCTCAACTTCATCATTTGAATCTTTTACTAAAAATAATGATAATTAATAAACACGTCAACAGTAGCTTCAAAAACAACAACATACCATTAATATCATATTCTTCATCATTATTCATTGTATATTGTCCAGTAGGTAATTCATGTAAACCTACAGTGAATGACAACATACAGTACATGAATATAATTAATATATACCAATCACTAATCCTTACCTTCCAGTATATCATCTCTATCCATTCTTTTCAATGATTCCTTCAGTTCAGTTATTGTTCTATCCTTCTCATGACACCAGGTCTCAAGTACACGAGTTAATCTTGAATCAACTGGTGTCATCTCTTTGATTTCAGTTAACACTGATTCCTTCACTTCAAGACACTGTCCAATGTGATACCAGTCATCTTCAACTGGTTCCAGTATCACTGATAATTGGGATATGTCACCTATAACAATAATAATAATAATAATAATAATAATAATAATAATAATAATAATAATAATAATAATAATAATAATAATAACAACAATGATGATGATGATGATGATGATGATAAATAATGTCTTTAAAATTACATACATGTTCAAATTGATAGACATTCACCAAAATAAAATATTGAAACCATTATACAATATAGATACATGTACATGAGTCCAATTATGATGTATATATACATGTATAGCCACAAATTCCACCACCAATCACTACAAATTCCTATACTCCAAATATGGTACTACTAATATCAACTAGTGTACTCCTCCTCATACAATCATTTATGTGGTCTATCAGTGGATACAGTTTATATTAGAGTACTGAACTAACCTTTACTGATATAAGTACATGTATGTACAGTCTCAATCTCTTGTAATATCTCAGTCTCTTCTTTCTGTTCTACTGGTACTATCAAATACAATTTATTAATAATTATTAATAATAAGTATACCATTATAATCTTTAAGTAATGTCATTAATCTGTCATTCTCCAGTATCAATGCTTTCCTTTGTTCTAATTATAAAAAGAGGTCAGTAACTAGTAATTAATAATGTGTGTGGGTGTGCACATACTTTGAAATGTTTCACTTTCACTTTTAATCTTTTGAATTTCACTCTGTAATTCTATAAAAAGTAAAAATAGTGTAGAAATCACTGAAACAAAACAAATTATATAGATATAAATGTACATGTACATAAAGGCTGCAAAAGTTGTGGCAGGCATTTTGTTTGGGGGTGAATCCTACTTAGTAACGCTACCACATTACTAATACTACAGCGTACACACACACACACACATACACACATACCTGATTCAGTGATAGTGTATTCACTCTGAACTGATACTTCCTTGTAATCTTTGACTTGGTATAGCTCTTGAAGACAATCATTCTTTCTTTGTAGCTCTTCTTTCTCAATTTTCTCTTCTTCTAGTTCATTTTGAAGTTCTTCCAGTTGCTTATGAGTAAGTTCATTCTCTATAGTATAATAATGATTGGAGTATCAATCAACAATAATTATTAATAACACTACATGTATATAACCTGATCTTAATTCTTCATGTTGTTCTGTCTTGTGTTTCAAGTCTCTAGTAACTTCCTCCTGTTGTTTAGTAAGTGTTGCTATTTTCTCTTCATTTTGAATGAGGTCCCCTTTCAATTGAAGGATCTCTTCTTCATATTTCTTTGTAATAAATTGTTTCTCTTCTTCATGGAGTTCCTTTTCTTCCTTCAGTTGTTTTTGAATACTTTCAACTTTCTCCTGTAGCAACATAACTTGATCCTCATGCTTTTCTGTTGTTCCTATACTCAATAGTTACATTATGTATCATATTAATAATATTGATGTACCTGCTGGTACTTCAGTTCTTAGTGTGGCATCTTTACTTTGTACAGTAGGGCTCACATAAATATCAGTGAATGATTCTGGTTCCCATTCTTCCCACATTCTATTACAATCACCTCTAATGACATTTACTTTTATATGACGGGGTAATACAGCTAATGACAGCTTCTGTACATCTTTAAGTAATGAATAGCCAGCAACTTCATCAATGACAATCGTAACATAACTAATTATTGATGATGCTTTAAAAAGTACTTCTTCCAAAAATTGGCAAAGTTTTATTTTTAACTCCTCAACAGCTCCTTTATATTCCTCAATAACTGGCTTAGCCTCCTCTATATTGAACTCACTAACAAGATACTCCAACATACTAATATCATCAAGTGAACTGTTAACACGCATTAATTGTAAAATGTTATGGATATCTTTACACTGAGCTAACTGAGACATTAATGCTCTGTTGTATCTACCCAGTACAAGTTTAATATTACCAAGAGATGGAGACTGACGGTTCCTCATCATGATTGATTCCACTGTGATGAATGTTTGCCCAAACTTCAATCGCATCAAATAAAGCTCTGAAGTGACACTCTTAGGAAGATAAATCTTGAGCCCTTCAACTAAAATAATTAATATGTTAAAGTTAATTCATAAATAAATCTTACCATTCTTGTCATCACTCTCATAAACTATTCCTATACAACAATCATTAGTTACTGGTATATGTTATAATATACTTACTGTAGTCTCTCTTAATAGCTCTTCCTATCTCAGCAGTGGCTGTGTATTTACATAAAATATCAGCAAACGCCTCAAGTTTTCTATAATTAGCACAAACTGCAGCCTTTATGTCACCCATCAGTGCTTCTCCTTGTATATTAGTTGGGAGAATTGTCTCCTGTAAAAGGCCTGCTTCATACAAAGCTATAACCATCTGAGGTAGTACAGTCACAAGGGACTGGTCTGAGGTATAACTAGCAAGAACTTTACAAGCAGGATGCTCTTGACAATAAATAAAATCAACAAATACTTATTTTTATTAAACTCACTTTCCATATCTATTCTATCAGCTACTCCATTCTCTCCTAGTTCCCTCAATGCTGATACCAATGAATAGATAGTAGGACCACCTTTAGTGTACTGTACATTATCAGCTTTCTGTAACCATTTAATAAGACACTCACGTAGACCACCATCAATATCTCCTCTATTCTTTGATTTGATAACATCTAGTGTAGGTCGAGATAGACCAAGATTAAGACCAAGATTACGGTAAGTGACTCCTGAGTAACCGTGTCTTGTCAGTAATAATAGTACCCAAGTTAGATCAGTAACTATTAAATAATTTCATTTAATAAAGAAACAAACAGATAAATATACTTTTCAGTTGATTTGGAGGATCTACTGATTCAGAAAAGATAGAAGAACTCGAGGAAGTAAACTTAGAAGCCATTATTATTGAATTCAATTGACCTGAAGGTTGGGCTGACAATGATCACGCAACCATTATCACAGCCACACCTATTAGAATGCCAGCTCAGCAATAACAATTCTGATGACGTCCATTGCAGGACAGATTATATACTGCACTTGTAGTTGTATTATGTTATTTATCGATTGAAATAATGGTATAGCATACTTCAGTACATGAACAGTATCAAGATGACTGCTGTCAGCATATATTGATACCAAACAAACAAACAAATTATAGTACGGTTATGATCAAAAACATCTAAATCTCTTTCTTCAATCCATTAATAGTATAATAAACACAATAAATTAGCTTGTACTTTCTAGACAGCATAAGGACATCAATAAATTATGTATCAGAAATAAAATCCTTATTATGATAATACTTTTTGAAATAACGTGTTACACACTCTCACAATATCAGCATGTACTAATGAAATCAGTTTCAATTGTAGTTTATTATAACTGGTAGTGGAGTACTCTTGAGCTCCTACTCTGAATGACCACTGACTATAATCAACACCTACAGGACAATGAACAAATGAACATTACTATCACTAATGGACACACTGTATGCAGTATGGAGGAAATTATTGAGGACTGTAAATTTTGTAATGCCTTTAAACGATCATAAAAACAATTTCACATAAACCAATTTATTACAATGAAAAGTTGGCCAAAAATGTAATTAGCAAAAATTAAATCTGAAAAATAGATTTTAAGGCAAATTCTTAAAATTTACAGCCCTCAAAAATTACTACATGCACATGTTTATATGTAGTCATTGCAGTGACCAGTGTGTGTGTGTGTCTGGAGGTGAGTATCAGTAATGTAATACCTGAGTCCCTAGATATCTGCCCTCAGCTTCACCTCAAGCAGATATCTCAGTCCTCAGGTATTACATTACTTATACACACACACACCTCCAGACAGGCTGGACTACATGTACATGTACAGTTCCATTACCTTCATTTAGTTCATTATCTTTACTAACAAATGGCTTCACATTAGCTTTGATGTAACGATATACTTCTCTTCTATTAATCAAGTTCTTTAACTCCAAAGAATTGGTCGGATCTCCAGGCTACAATAATAATAATAATAATAATAATAATAATATAAATGATAATAATAATAATAATAATAATAATAATAACAACAACAAACAAATAACTTCAAAATTAAAATGACAGATGGCAGGTGGAGAATTGACTATATAATTAAAATTAATCTTGAACTTACAAAATTATGTTTTTGTTTGATGTAGACTAAACTTCCTTTAGTTTGAACTGATTGCACTAATCTCCTCCAGTCATCAGTTGATATCAGCAACACTTCAGGCACTAGTTCATTGTCAATGTATAAATGAGCCTCACCACTACCATCCTCCAATAATAACCTACACACGTATACATGTACATGTACATTAATTATAATAATGAATTAATTTTAATAGCTAGTAATTTTGGAAATGGTAAAATTTTGACAATTGGCAGATTTTAATGTGGCAAAATGCTCATCAAAAGCCAAAATTTCCAGCTATACATTATTATTATTATTATTATTATTATTATTATACCTCAAAGATGCTTCGAAGACAATGTTTGGCAGCTTACAGTGGCTATGGTAATGGTCGTCAAGGATGACCTTACAAGTATTACAGAAATACCTCAAGGAGAGGTACTGAACTGAAGCAATGTGTCCCTCTACTGTCACCCTGTTATGAAGGGAGAGAGACTTCCTCATTGATTTATGAATCAACGTTGATAATTTAACAGGAGACAGTGAGTTCTGATCAGGTACAGAAGTGTCCTCATTAATAATATTAATAGAACTGATAGCTGATTGAATACAGTATGGATTACCAGTGCTAGATAGCTTCAGTTCAAAGTGATAGCAAGTAATGCTAGTACCAGGTAATAGACCAATTGGTATTGATGAAGTATTGTTTAAAGGGTAACTACACCCCAATTTTTTTTCCCTGAAATAAGTTGGTAATAAAGAAAGAATCATAGGAAAAATAGCTAAAATTATTAAAAAGTACAAATTCTATACTAAATCTTGGGTCAAAAGTTGCCTTGCAGCCATTATGTCAAATC